GATCTACTATATATTGCTTAACTACGAGCTCTAGGAGGGTACCCGCGTTATAAGAGCCGTCGATTGCCGTCCCTACGAGCAATAGGGCCGGTCGCTTTGCCTCTAGGGTAATTATAATAACGACGCTAAGGTTATTAGGATATATAAGAAGTATCTTTCCTACCCTTCCCTTTCTAAAGAACTTACCTACCTTAACTTCCTAGCTAACTAGAATATAAGTAAGAGGGATAGGAGAAAGTAAGCACGTTAGAGTTATTAAGCTAAGCCTCGAGTACTATACTACTTTCCGCGGTATAAGTCGAACCTATAGTATTACTAATATAATAACTTTTATCGGGTAAAGCTAATACTTACTTATTTATATCGCGATCCTAATAAACTACGTAAGATTAACGGTATCGAGTTTAACTTATACGTATCTACCGCCGAATTCTATTATACGAACTACTAGCATCCTAATAATTACTATAGTATACCTAACGCTAAAGAACGTCGGCTAGATCTAGGTAAGTTCGAGGAAGAATTTTACGAGCCTAACCTTCTCGAGGAGGATTAGCTTAAGCTTGCCCGCTAGCTTCCCGACTACCTATTAAGCTAAGAGATAGTAGATCTCCTTAGTAGACGGGATATCGATATCTAATACGATTAGATACCCTACGTCGGCCGCTACGCTAATCTAGTAATCGTTTAGGGTAATTATTAGCGCTAGCGTATTACGTAGAATCCTCTCTATATAGATATTAAAGACCTACCTTTAAAGGTCTACGATACGCTTAACCTAGAGTAGCGGATAGTATACGATATAATCGTTAGATATTTCTAATATGGCAGCGAGGAGTAGATTCTACTCTATATAGACGGTGGTAGCGGGATAGGCAAGTCCTATCTAATTAAAGTCTTATCTTCGTACCTTTAAAGGCTCGCTAGTAACCGGCCTAGTCTAATATAGAGAGCTATACCCACGGGCGTTATAAGCAACCAGGTTATAGGGATAATATTACACTCCCTACTCCGGCTACCTATAGATAGGGCTTTTAGAGAGCTCTCCCTAGTAGATATTAATGCTCTTTAGAAGAAGCTACGGGACGTTAGGTATATTATAATTAATAAGAAAAGTATACTAGGCCTTCGTTAACTTTCGTAGATCGATAAACGCCTCCGCTAAGTCTATCCTATTAAAGCAGCCGAATTCTTTAGCGGTATAAGCATTATCCTCGTTAGTGACTTCTTCTAGCTCCCGCCGATTGCGAATAAACCCCTCTACTTTAATAGGCCGCTTAAAGACCTATAAGAGGTCTCTAGCTAGACGATATATAGGGCGTTTAGCTATACTGTCTTCCTAAAAAAGGTCTAGCGGTAATAGGGCGATAACTAAGCCGGCTTTCGTCTTACGCTTAAAGAATTACGTCGTCTAAAGCTATCTATTAAGTTATAGAAACTCCTAAGCTAGCGTGTATAGGCTAAGCTAAGCTAGCGCGAGGTAGATACGTTTGCTACTGCCCTTCGTATCTATAGTAAGAAAGCTAGTGTTAACGAGTATAACTATAAGCATCTCGTTCGTCTTAAGCGACTAGCAATCTAAGTTATAGCGAAGAACATTAGTAACGGTGCTAATAAGGCAACGTCTAAATAAGCTAGCAACCTAGCTAGCTAGTTTCCTATATATATTAGTGCTCGTCTTATACTAACGCAGAACATCTAGCATCCTACTAGCCTAGTTAATAGAGCCTAAGGCATAGTATATAATATCGGTTAGGCCCCTAGCACTAATACGCACCGTAACCCGCTATATATTATTATAATAGTAATAGATAAGTATACCGGCCTATTATATCTAACCGCGGATAATAGGCGTAAGGTAGTACCTATACTGCCGGTAAAGCGAGACTTCTTTCTTAGGACGTCCGCTTATACACAAACGCAGTTCCCCCTTATAGCGTTATATGCTATTACTATTTATAAGTCATAGAGCATCACGGTAGATAAGATAGTAACGGATCTATCTAAACGGGACTTCTAGATAGGGCTTAGCTATATTGCGGTCTCCCGGGTTAAGATGTTAGATAGGTTAATGATCGATACCCTATTTAAACGGGCGTCTCTCTACTATAAAAAGCTACCTAATAGTAAGTGGAGTTCCATTATGTTATTTATTCACGCTTAAGGCTCTACAAATCCTAACAGAGCAGTAGGTGTTTTGATAAAAGTCCGCGAGTAGGACCGGCGCAAATAACAGCAAATTGACTAGCCACTATTCTAACCTATCTTTTCGTGATGACGGTATTACACGCATCGCTTCGCGGAGCACCACTGCAAAACTACACTTTTTGATATAAAATATCATGCCCTAGAGATACATCCTTCGGACTGTATTACACCCTCCCCACCTCCGGTGAGGGTGTCAGCATATTTTATAAATCACCTCTCGTTCGGGGCAAGTCCAGTGTTTATATGCCTTCTCATTACTCTAAGTCCGAATTCCGCTCTCTCCACCGTTCAAGGTTGCCGCATTTCGACATGCAGGATGAGATTACCATCAAGGAGATCACCGAGGCCTGTGTCGTGTTTGCCGTGACCGCGGTCTTTCTGGCGCTTTATCTATACTAGATGATCAGAGTCAAGCCACGAGTAGCTTCGCGTAGGCGAACTTGGGCGTTGATTTCCACGGCCTGTCTCCTCTCGGGTACCGGACTGGTATTCGCCGCTCTATTCGGCAGTGCGAGAAATGCACTCGTGCCAAGCGTCCTTGCCTACCCCTTCTTCACAGCCTGGAAAGGGGTTACCATGTTATGCGTCGACATCATCGAGGTACTCCTTATTTAGGCCCGCCTAGTTATCTCCCCAATATACTCATTGGTTTATAGCTGATTCAAGTTGTCGATCCCTTGATTGACGCCTATTTTTCTCACGCCGTTAATCGGGCGAGAATCAACATTTTTGGACTAGCATTAGTCTTCCACCTTCCCTTTATTGGGGCGACCGTCTGGCAATTCAGGCTATCTGGCGTCGAATACTGGTGGGCTGCTCCAATGGTGTCTCACTTGGCTACCGTGATTATGGTTATGGCGATATGGAGGAAGACACAGTGTTTCCGTCGTTTTGACCGGCACTCTAACCAGCCTCAGCCAGAGCAGCCGACGTCAAATCAGGGGATGCCGTGGCTTGGAGCAGTAAGCGGATTGGCGTTCCTAGCATCATCTGTGCTCTACCGCCGGTGAGCTCTCATCAGAGGCCTGGAGTACCAACGATGAGGGGCTTCTGTGTCGCCGCGAAAAGATCTTCGTGCCTGCGGGCTTGAGAAACGAGATCTTGATGCTGTTTCACGACGATGAGGTTGCCGGCCATTAAGGCGGAACCAAGAGTTATAAGCGGATCTAGGCACAGTACTACTAGCCCGGATTGCGCCGAGATGTGCGTCGCTATGTCTCTACCTGCCGAGATTGCTAACTTACGAAGCCGAGGCATCACAAACCTTACGGGTTGCTAGCGCCACTGCCAGCGCCAAGCCGCCCGTGGCAAGAAATTTCGATGGATTTCATCACGGACCTTCCGCTAGTTTATTGCGAGAAGAAGACCTACTCTAGTATCCTAGTCGTGGTAGACCGATTGACCCGATACGCGCGCTATATCCCGGTGTTATTACGTATCTCTAGCGATGGCCTAGCAAGCGTGTTCTTAAGAGAGATTCTCAAGCATTATAGGATGCCTGATAGCATCGTTAGCGATCGAGGGAGCCTATTTACGGGTCACTTCTAGGCTACGTTCTACCACCTACTTTAATGCAAGCGACGCCTTAGCACGGCCTTCCATCCTTAGACTAATGGCCAAACTAAGCGGATTAACTAGACGATCGAACAGTATTTGCGGACCTTCTGCAACAAAGAATAGTTAGACTAGATAGATAAGCTGCCGTTGGCGGAGTTCACCTATAATACCTTATATTATAACACTATAAAAAGGGCTCCGGCGGAAGTCTTAATAGGTTATCAGCCACGGTCCAAGGGGCATATCAAGGGATAGCTCGAAACCTTCAGCACCCGGGCGATAGACCGAGTCCGGGGTCTCAGAGAACTTCACGCGCGCACGGCGCTCCTTATCACAAGAGCCTAAGAGCGACTAGCACGATACTATAATAAGGATCGAGAGCTAATGTCCTTTAAGGAGGGTAATTGGGTCCTTATCTCCACGAAAAACCTTCCGTTGAGGCGCCCGACTAAGAAGTTAACGGCCAAGTTTGTCGGACCCTACCAAATTAAACAGGTCGTTGGGGGCCATCAACTAGCCTATCGACTTCGCCTACCGTTAACCGTCAGGATCCATGACGTCTTGCCAATCAGTAGCTTAGAACTCTTCCGGAATTGAAGTCAAGCGCCAGTTGAGCCCGAGGATCATCCTTTTATGGCAGAATCTACGATGTGGAGCGAATCCTTGATTATCGTGGATCGCGAAGTCGCCGCAGGTATTTGGTGAAATGGAAAGGTCATAGGGACGAGGAAAATTCTTGGGTGTCCCGAAGTGATTTTATGGACAAGGCGTTCTTGGCGGACTACGACCGATCTTTCGGGACAGCGGCCTAGGAGTTCGGGACGAACTCTTCTGAAGGGAGGGCAACCCGTTACGTGCCAGCTAAAGCAGACCTCCGAGACATTTCGGAGGTAAGCGTCAGAACCGGGAGGATGCTATTATGTTAAAAGGATCCCACCTCTCAAGACAGATAATCCCTGCAATATGTCTGTCCGAACCTGTCTGTCCGGAGCCATCCCGTGTCGTCCTTGGTGTTGTGACCAAGTCTTTCGTCGCCCTATTCACAGGGAATCTTCTTCCCGATATTTGCTCAGTCATCCATACTGTCCGCGCCTCTTATTGTGTGAAGTCCTCTCTAACAGCTGTGCCCGTGCCGGCCGATAGTTTCAGCTGTTTTCTGCGAAGCAGCGTTGCGGCCCAGCTTGACCATGCCTAAGATCGAGTAGACAACCTTGATGGCTTTCGTTACGATATTTCTAATACCAGAACTCATCAATGGAAGCCTGCAGCGCTCCCCCCCATATCGAGACATTATGGTAGAAACTAAGACATTTCCAGACATTACGTGCAGCGTTGCATTGATGAATTGCCATTCATCTGTGGTCAGAATATCCATGTCGATCAGTTGCTGTAGCTCCGCCTCAATCTCGCACTCGATCTGGAACTGTAACCCTTGGGTCACAGCGACGGCGGCATCGAATGTATCGAGACTGAAGAGCCGCTTTACCACGTCGACCGCGTTGATCAGGTATAAGACCTTGCCGGTGTCATAAGCCTTTTTTTCCTTTTCCCATGAGCCCAGGTCATTGGCGACAGAGACGTGATCTTTGAGCAAGCGGATGTACTTCGCGAGACGGGGACTTTCAAGGTCGACGGAGGAATTGAGAGAGAATTTGGTGCATCCCAGGACGTACCTAACAGACGTCTTCATTTAGTCCGGTCTAATATAAAATGAAAACAATTTACTAAAAAAAGATGGTAAAAATGGGAAAGGGTTGTCTTACGGAACCGCCGCGTCCTCATGCCGATACAATAAAAAGTCCTCCATGCAGTCATATTTCTCTGGCGGAGGAGGTCGACTGAAGAATCGAATCATCATCTCAATCATAGTTCTGCCTGAGTCGTTACCATTTTCCTGGTCAAGCTCGAGGATCTGGGCGATCGTATCGTCAATGAGAGATTGGAGGGCCGATTCAGGACCATATGTGTGGCTCCCACTAGGTTGCATACGCTCAATGAAAACTTCCTGTACACGCGAGAACTGGTGCGTTGTTAGCTCGTTGTATAAGCAATATCCCGAAGACCTTGGCCACGAACCGTGGTGATGTCATGCATCTCCCAGAAGTCTAACCCGTACTCATCAACACATATGATCTTCAAGTAAGTCCACATAAGAGTAACCTAGACATACCATCAAATATGAAGATAAAGACATTTACAGCGGCTAAGAGTTTTGTGCGCTGCTCGTCGCCCTCTGGAAATAAGTAAATCGGAAACTTAGCCCACCCCTCTTCAACATTCAAGTCGAGCTCCTTCTGCGATATCTCAGCAATCGAATGCCCAGATTTGGAAATCACTCCTGCCGAATCACTGGCAGCGAATTCTTTCAAAAATGCACGGGTTGTGTTTAGACACAGCTGCCAATGCTTACTTTGGCGACATGAGAGGATTCCGCAGGGCCAGGGAAGCCCCGCGGCCAATGGGTGGATATCGATCGCATGGCCGTCTGGTTCAATGGCTCTTCTTCCCCCATTTGCCTTGGCCACGGATAGCTTCAGGAATTCCTGAGAATGGAGATAACCATTGAGCTGTAGATGAGGCCGCTTTAAGTATTTGACTCCGCCATACAGATAGTCATAGGCATAGCGAATGGGGAACTGGTATTCGCGGTTGCCGGCGGAAGTTATGTTGTCTGCCCCGTTTTCAGCATCTGTATCAATATATAAAGGTATAAACGCCTTTTGGGCTGAACAAGAATGTGGGATACCTCTAACCGAGGCAACACTGACTTTACAGTTATTCCCCATGCCTCGTCTTCTGTTACCTAAGATCTGGAAATCCGTATAGATGCGCAAGGAGCTTTGAGTCTCACGAAGAGAGCAAGGCAGAGGGCATAAAGAGGACACTTGGATGGTTGGTGTGCAAAAGTGTTGATTCATTGTTCTCCTCCTCTCTGCTTCCTCGGTGCTCCAGGTTATTTATGTTCGTTGCCCTTTCTCTTCTTCTGTCTTCAATCTTCTTCCTAACTGATCCACTAATGCATACCCCTCCCTCAGGCCACCACGTCAATCTGCTACGTCTGCACGGTCTGCTTGCCACGTCTTCCCTGTTTCCTCCTCTCTCGTCCTTACATTTTCAGCTAGCTACAGGCTTGAAGCTCAAATCATTGACCATTCTTCTCAGCACTTAGATTGCAAAATAAGGAAAACCAGTCTATCAGAGTGGAGTAAGGGTACAAGAAGATAAAGCTATAAGATTGCCCGACAAAGGTCTCTACTAAAGACTTCAAAATTTATTTCCCACCTCAAGAACACGCTAGACTATTTTAGAATGCAACTTTCCTAATTAGGAAGCCCACTTCCCAAAACGGTTCAGTGTCAAGAAATCATTAGCAACAGATTTTGAAGTCTTCCCTCCGTGTCTTTCTTCTCATTATGCTCAACGGCAGAATCGCTTCGGAATAGACGCCGACGCTAAGGCGCAGCAGAGAGACATAGCAAGGCAATCGTTTCTTTTTCCGTTATGTTATGTGTTTGTTTCGGGAAGAGTGCCTTGAGGAACTGGAGAAGCGGCGCCTTGAGGAACGAGGAACGACGTGACGAAAGATATGCCTTTGCCTTGAGGAACGAAAGGTTCTTCCTTCCGCATCTTTGCCTTAAGGAACGAAGAGACGAAAGGATCCTTTCCTTTCTTCCGTCCTTTCCTTTCCTTTTTTCCCTTTTGCCTTGTTTCCTTCTTCCGCGCCCTCCCGCGCCCTTCCTAGGCACGGTCCTCCACTTGTCCTCCATCCTCCACTTGTCCTCCATCCTCCACTTGTTGTCCTCCCGTGCTGTGTTCCGGCCATTCCAGCCACTCTTCACCGCCACCTTCGTTCCTCAAGGCATTGGCGGACTCTGCAAGGGGCCGCTCTCCAGTTCCCCCCGCCTTCCCCTCCATCCCATGCCACATACCGCTCCGTGCCCACCAGCCACACTTCACCGCCATTTAGTATTGTGGTCCCTTAAGCAACACTAAAATGTTGTCCTTTGAGCTTATATCCATAGCACTTGTAGTACGTCGGTCCGTAAGGGCGAGCGAGGCATACCCAACGGGTGAGACATGCCAACGGGTGCCAACGGGTAAGACATGCCAACGGGTGAGACAAATAACTATTAATCCACGGCGGCACGCACCTTATTTATTTAAAAAGAAAATTTAAAATGTGTTAAGGTCATGGTGTGAGCTTGCAACCTTTGGTTTTGCACGGATGACTATATTATCCATATCAGTTTCGCTCTTAAAACTTATACGCTATCCTTACATTACACTTTAACACTTGTCTCGTTGCATTATTTAAGTGTTGAGCCGCCGTGAGCTAATATGATGTGGACATTAGATACATGGCTTTTCCTCGCAGCCCAAGTCAGCCTATGTACACTCACAGTTGCGGTGTTCCGCCGTTATTTTTCTTGCATTAGTGATATTCCGGGGCCGTTTATTGCTTCTTTCACTCGCCTCTGGCACATTGGCCACATAGTAATCGGCGACTTACCACTTCAGCTCATTGACTTACACGACAAATATGGTATAGTTGTCTCCCCTTTTACGCGTTGGGTTATTGAAAACAATACAGGCCACTTTATTCGCATCTCATACAATGAAATCAGCATCAGCCATCCGGATGCTGTCCAGCAAATTCTTTCGTCTCTCAATAAGGTAAATAAACAGCATTGCCCTAGACACTACAAAATTGTTAACTAGGTCTCAAGGCCCCCTGGTATAAGGTTGCAGCCACACCAGACTATCGTTTTCAGACACCGATGTCAACTTTAGAGCCAAACGCCAAAAGGAAGCGTTCGAGGCACGTTGCTTCCGCGTATACCCTGACCAATATCCTCCGGTCCGAAGGAGATATCAACCGTCTCATTGAGATGTTTATACGATGGGTGGATCAGTTTGCGGAAGAGCAAAGGCCGATGCACCTTGATAAATTTCTCAGCTACCTTACCTATGATACGATTGGTGAGGTCCATTTTTCCGAGGCCTTTGGTTTCCTAGAAACAGGATCCGATGTGAACCAATCTATCGCAACATTCGTGGCATTTAACCTATATAGTGCTGTCGCAGGCTATTTCAATTGGCTTCATGCACTTTTCGTTGCCAACCCAGTCGTCAGCAAGCTTGGCATACTGCCGATGGGGTATCTCTATAATACGACACTGCAAGCTTTATATAAACGCCACGGGAAGATAGACACTCGATTCGACATGGTCGCACATTGGTTAAGGGAACATGAGAAGTATCCGGACCGCTTCTCCGTCCGGGATATTTACGCCGTGACAATTAATAGCGTGTTCGGTGGCTCGGACACTACGTCAATTGCTATGCAGTCTTTCTTTTATCATACGATTCGACATCCAACTGCATACCGACGTGTGCGCGACGAGATAGACGCTGCACGGGCGGAGGGTCGATGCCAGGATACGATTATATCCTTTGCCGATGCGACGAAGCTTCCCTATTTGGACGCGTGCATTAAGGAGTCTCTTCGTATTTTTGGACCATTCGCGCTGTCATTACCGCGAGTGGCGGCCGAACATGGCGTGATGATTAATGGTCGTACATTTCCAAGCGGCACGATTCTCTCTGTTAATCCTTGGGTGGTACATCATTCACACGAGTGTTGGGGTTTGGATGCGAGGGTGTTTAACCCAGACAGGTGGTTTGCAGCAGGAATCAATACTCGGGAAAAATATTTGATACCTGTTAGTATAAATTTCTCTCCTCTCCAACCAACGGTTGTTCTTGCGCATAATGCTAATTGCAGGGCTATCAGTTCGGCGCAGGGTATAACTCATGCCCCGGCCAGAATTTGGCCCGAATTGAAATTTTTAAGATAGCCGCGACTATGATCCGCGACTATGATATACGTCAGGTGGACAGGAATCAGGAATGGAAATGGAAAGCCCGTATAACCGTTATGCAGCATTCATGGCCAGTATGTATTCAAAAGAGGAAGTCTCGCAAGGATTAAAAATAGGAAGGGTAAGTGTTGGCTAGTATAGGCACCGCTGTTAGTAAGTCACCTGAAGGATAAAGGGAGGCCACCTGAAGGATCTTATGAGGCCATGTATCGGAGACCTATGTAACCCTGGAGCCACGTCAGACCCTCAGCTCAATCTTCCTATCTTTCAGCTATTCCAGTTGTCATCCAACTAGAAGCTCAAGCCTTCTCCTGCAAAGGTTTTAAAAGGGAAGGTAAGAGTTAATCTGTTCATTGTCGTCTATCCAGAATGAATGTGAGAAGTTCTGTCTTCTTATAGTCCTAAGGGAATGTGACTGCCTTGCGGTGGCGAATTTGCCACTTGCCACACAAGCTGCTTTTGTGATGTTATCTAGAAAGTTCCATAACATCGCTTAACAATCGCGCATTTCATCATACGTATCTGTCGTTGGACTGTTATTCTGATACTCATGAGGTAGGGGCAGCACAAGAAGGGATAAAGATGCATGATCAAGCTAGAAAGAATCGGCCACAGGGCCCTATTTATGCCGTAGTCAGAGGGGCCCTCAGGTGACTTACATAGGCACCAAACTGGCCCCATACGTGAGGTCTTTATGGGTCCCCGATACATGGCCTCATAATGATCCTTCAGGTGGCCCTCCCTTGATCCTTCAGGTGACCTACTAACAGCGGTGCCAACAGATACATGGCCTCATAATGATCCTCTCGAACAGGTGTTTGAGAGCGCATGTGGAAGTGATCAGGGGCAATAATCAATGTGACAGATATGCATGCCCCTTTCTTACTACGTGAGACCTAAGGCCCTAAGGGGGTATTTATACGTACAGATACCTCTTCTAGACCCTGATATAGCTGCTAATATAGCCTTACCCCGATGTCCTTGATGTCCTGATACTAAATTGCAACTTCCCTTGGCCTTATGCGTAGTAATGGGTTATCCTTGTGTAGATGTGTGTGTGTGGCTCCTTGGGCCCTGCTTGCACAGGCATCCCTTACCTAATTGATGGTTGTTGCCCAACAGATCCTTCTGTCGAGAAAGAGAGTCTAAGACTTGGTCCTGAAGCCTGATGGCTAGCTGAAAGTATAGGGACGGGAGAGGATGAAATAAGGAGGACGTGGCAGGCTGACGTGGAGAGAGGGGGCCCCGGACAGAAGGGGAGAACAATGAATGAACACACGCATGCACCCTGACCTACTCTACTGCTCCAATTATCTCCCTTATGCCCTCTGCCCTCCTCTCCTCGTGAGAGTATATTTGCCACGTATTTAGACTGTCTTCGAGGCTAGATCAGACACGCCATCGAAAAAGTCCAGCTTGAGTTTAAGACATTTCATAAAACGTGTCGTATGCAATCCACACCGCCTCTTCAGGATCGACCAATACAATGCTCGCAGAGTGCCCACGGCGAGAGTAGACGCATAAACTGAGAGTTTTGGCCAGTTATGGCTATCACTCAGACAGGGCGTCTACCCCGTGCAACAAACCCGAAATGAAC